TATACTTATAAACAATAAATAATAAAAATTTAATTCCAGTTCAATAAATAAAAAGACCTTGGATACCAAAGAAGACTTCAAGAATATGCAGTACTAATTTTATTGAAGGTAATTTCACCGAATCGATAATAACCAAAAGCAGCGGTCACATAGTTTTGCATTTTCGCTACGCATTCTTAACTCCCAAACATACGAATTAACGGTTTCAGTATTCGCGCTGTTAAGCAAGTCGGACGCCACCTGGCGAGTAAACATCTGAAACTTCGAGTACCCCTCAATCAGCCGTTTGAATTTGAACAGAAATTTCGATATTCATTCGTATCTAGTTTTCAAAAAAGGTAACACGAATACACGTGGCATATTTTGTTTACATGATACCTCGTTTCAGTTTTAATTCAAACAAAAAAAACAATTGTTTTGTTTAATTCATCTCAGCAAAACGGAATAGGATTCGATCGTCATAATTACCGCTCTGCGAAGTTACATCACTGCGCATGTATAACCCGCGGATCTCTCAGTGTACGACTAAACAAATAAAAGCAAAAAGAAAACCAAGTGGATCGCACCAGCACGCTCTGTTTCGCAGCTGATTCTTCGTACACTGTTAACAACTTAACACTATCGTACGTATATTTTAGAATGAACTAAAAGTTCGTGCACTTTTGTTGTTGTTTCAGTTTGAATATGTATAATTATTTTATGTCAATAAGGATACTTTATATACAAGTATTACACTAGAATGAGTCCAAGATCCAAACACTGTGCCCTAGATTATGAGAGGAGTCGTAGAAACAACGCTTTTCGTACCTTCGCAAACACTCTTCGCTTTAGACTGTAACTTGAAAGAATAGATCTAATGTCGTCTCCTTCATCCTTAGGCTGCGTTATAACAAGAATCTTTCAATGAAGTACTTTTATTTCTATTATATTAAGTCTTTTTGCTTTTAGCTTTCATTTCCATTTTCAATATAATTCATATAGCTTGTATGTGCTTGTATACACTGTTGTTTCAATCTCATCATGTTCTAAAAATAGTAAATGTCATTGAAAGAATCATTTATGTCAATATAGATGTAGAAATTAATAAAAATTAGACTTACTTATCAAGAAATCATGATTGTGTCACTTGATTTTATCGTTTTTGACTGTCATCGTAAAATCAAATTGTACTTACTACTCAAAGATATTTGTAAATATTGTTGCGTCTGGGAGTGGTGGATGTGGCTGTAATCGATTACGTAAGTTGCTTAAAAATATGTGGGGAGCAAAATGTTTTGTGGTTCTTAAAAAACTCTGTAGTTCTTATGAAGCCTCTCCAGTAAAATATGCTGCCTTATGCCGCATGCTTCTGCTCACGGTTTTGATCCAAAATGTAATGTAATTTACTTTAGTTTAAAAATTAATTAAACTATTATAATACGTCGTTTCTTGGCAATTTTTTGAAAGCAGATAATTAAAAAATTCTCAAAGTAAAATATATTTTATCCTTTCATTGGCGTTAAGTTACCATACATACCTTTTCGAATGTAATGGGAACCTGAGAAAGCTTAATTCATGGCTTATGCCCGTTTGTTAATTACATTCCTTCATAGCACACTTGTAACCACCAATTGTTGCTGGCTTCTTAATCACGCACATTGATTTTACCTAAGAAGCCAAGTAGCTGTAAACGAATGATGTACTCACCCTGTGTGCTTCGAGGCAAAATATATGTAAAAATGTAGCCAGGTGTACAACCTGATTACTCTGTAAATTCACAACAGCATGTCGAAATTCGCTATATGGGATTTTCAAATTAAGAGGGCATACACCTCTTCGATATGTCACAAACGTTCAACAGCGATGCATTTTTACGCGTCCACTTTTCATCGATAAATACACACGAACCATAATATATATTATTCCTTGATTTTTTCGTCTACAGTTTCTTATAAACGTAACATACTGCAAATCAAGACGAAGTCCACGGAAAATCACATTCATCGTAATTGTTCATATATTGCTTTGCTAAAAGACATGTGTCGCGCCGCATGAGGACATTTAATTTCGACGATGGTATCGTCTCCAACAATGCCATCAGGCGTCTCGTCAAAATATGGGTATTCGCTGTTAATGAATAAAATGCAATCATTTACAGCTATCCCCAAAATCTCCTGCAATTTTTTTCGTACCAAAATCTCTTTTTCTTTACCCTACTCAACTGCGGTATTTGTTAGTTCAGTGAGATAGAGAATGTTTTGTACAAGATTTTGACCCGAGGTCGTTTCCCTTTTGCAACAAATTTTTCCAACATTCGAAGCAGTAAGTAATGTCCGATGTACGTGATGCCACTGCGGGTTTTCATGCTGACCCCGCGTAACATATTTCAGTACGTCTCGGTTTCTCTGCTGATTTCCCAGCTTTTCATAATGATTAGATTTCAGCTGTTCATACATATTGTCATCGATATCCGGCCATTCAGCATTCGGTCCGTGATCTTTATTTAAACTTACGAACAGAGACATCTAATGGTTTTGTCGCTGTCATGCGTTTCTTGTGTTTCTCACGACGAACAATACTTTTTTCTTCAAATATTGTTGTTCGTGCTAGTAGCTTCTTACCTATCGCGTAAGAAGCTCGACTCGTGGCTTTCAGAGTATTATGCTGAACAATTGCTGCTTTTACGCGTGGTCCGTAAAAACCTTTTTTCCAAAATGTACACCTTTACTGCCAATGTATTTACAAATAATTGAATTACTATTTACTTTCTACAGAATTGTTGGTAAACTCGTACAATAAACTTTCGGCATTATTTGTGACGCGTTTCATTGCCTCTTCTATATTTGAATAAAATCCTGCCATTCGTAATTAGAGAACAAGATTTGCCTCGCCTTCTTTTGACGTTCCATCACAGAAATACTTTAACGAGACACAATCTTGATGCTCACCAAATATGTAGCTAGGTACATTTTGCAAATCTTTAATCAAACCAGCAATTTTGTACTGCAATGGGACATTTTCATTGTGGCGAAACGTTGCAGTTTTTTTCGTATTTTCAAAACGCTGTTGGTCACTACCTTTTTTAATTTTTAGAGATTTCGACCATTAGTACGACCCTCTTCTCGTTTTCTATTGCGTAGATTACGCAGAAAATGATTAGTACATACAATTTTTTTAATTACTACGTTCGGGTACGATGAGAAATCTCTCAATTTTTTTTGGATATTACTGTCACCATCCGCGATATATCTACTAAATATCAATCTATGCATGTCCTTGGTACATCGGAAGCCTTCAAGAATTATATCGCTTTCCGTGCTGAAGGAGTCCTGTTGGTGCTCCAGTTTTTATAACAAACATGCTTCTTCGCGATATGTAACTTTTTCTCCCATGCCCAAACAACACAATACTTATTTCTAAAGCTACCAAACAATATTTTACGTGTATAATATCCAATGATAAGGGCAGTTCCGGACGAAGAATTTTAACTACCATTGTAATACGATCTCTTCATCCAGGAACCGCTCGTTATCACTGCGTTATATATGCGGAATATTGTCTATGAAATCACTCTTTTCAAAAGCTAATCTTTTCTGCTCTTCACCAGCCGCTCGCATTTCTTCTGCGGTGGCAGCATCCAAGGCGTCTGACATTTCGGCGTGATATTTGCCATATTTTATTGTCCATCCATGGAACATCTACAACAGATAAAAATTCATTTAACTGCCTGTACCCCGTGAATAATGTACCGCATACGACACCTCTAATAACAACCAATAACACGTCAGCTTGCGATTCGCTCATGAAATCACCGCAGAAATTACACACTCGAGATTTTACAAAATATTGCGTTTTCAGACCGTGATATATTGTGTGCGTTATAACGAGATTAGTAAAAGTGCAGCCGATCACCTTCCAATGTGAAGACAATCTCTACAATTTTGCAAAAATATGTCCAACATGAACGATGCTTCGTGCTATCTTCGTGCAAAACAATATTTTCGTCCATATCGTTTTGCAAGTTCGATGATACATTTTGTAATTCTACTTGACAAGCATTCACGGAAGCTTCAGGAAACATGCCATTTGATACTTCAACATCAATGTATCATCATTCATCCTATCTGTTTCATCGGCACAGGTGTCTTTTATATTTTCTACTGTACTGTCTTCTTCTATGTTAACTGAATCATAATTTTCAAAATTTTCATCGACGAATGAAAAAACGGGAGATGTGCACGGAAGAGATGCCAATGCATTATAATTGATCTCTTTATCCGTCACGTTGCCTTCGCATCCATAAAATTGTTGCGACGTACCTGATATTGTTGCCCGGCACAAATCTGGTACATCTTCACTCTTTCCACCTCTTCTCATCCGTGTCCTACGCACTTTCTGTTTCACAGAAGTGCGTCTTGAACAATTACTTCTCACTTTCTTACTCTTTGCATGCAAACCACTTAACTACTGACAGTCACGGTCACTGACTAGTTTGGCTTGGTGGCTAGTTTGAAAAGAGTGGAAA